AATAAGTGGGTGGTCAGCGTCATCTGAATACAGTATATCCAGGCTGCCTAAGCATTGTCCCTTCCTTTTTCCTTCTCGTAGCTGAAGAAACACTTAAATTCTGGAGATAGCAGCAACTCGGTATCATGGCCGGCAGCCCTAATGAAGATGCAGAAGGAAGCAGAGTGCGTAATAACTGCTCACTTACGGTGAACTGAAATTCAGAGTAATGGAGGTCAAAAACATAAACACTTTTTAATTAAACGAATAATTGAATTGTCTTTTTTTCTCTCTCTAGCTGATTTATTTTCGAAAGGCTAATACAACCTAGACAGAGACCAGCCGTCGCTTTCCTTTTGCATATGTTTTAATTCGTTGTGGTTAAATTAACTCCTTCAATTCTAAGGATTGGGCTTTTAATCAAGAAGGTGGGGAGGAGTGGTGGACATGGTAAAGGAAAACAAAGAAATAGCTTAGTATTTTTCTGTATCTAATAAAACATTTTTTCCCCTTTGCACATTTTAGATCGCTTATGTGAAAGGAGACCTTTTTGCGTGCCCCAAAACAGACTCTCTAGCCCATTGTATCAGTGAGGATTGTCGAATGGGCGCTGGGATAGCTGTACTCTTCAAGAAGAAATTTGGAGGGGTACAGGAACTGTTAAATCAACGTGAGTTTCGAAAACAGCTTAACTCTTCTGCTCTGGCTAGAGCATCTTTTGACCTCCTGTTATACTTAGTAAACAAGATATACTTGCAAAGAGGGGGTTCCTAACCACTGAGTACTTTTAAGTCATCAGATTAAGTTTTCCACCACAAAAGTAGCCTCTAGTTTGGGTCCTTATTAAATCAAGTTTGAATTCTTGTAAAAGTTTCTAATTTCTTCCCCCCCTACCATAAAGCTCTGTTGATAGTACTTCACTTTTCTGAAAACCTTAGTAACTGAACTGCTTAGCAAAATCCACAGGTATTAGCTTGGCATTCAAGATCTTCTGTTTACCCATATTGTATTTAGTAGTTCGGAATTCTCTTTTTTATAGACTCCTCCTATTACTTTCTACCAATGATTTTTATTTTTTAAAAAATATTTTTAAAAATATGTATTTAAAAATATTTTTATAAATACTTTTTTAAGGGAGAGGGGGAGAGATAGAAACATCAATGATGAGAGTCATGGATGGGCTGCCTTCTGCACGCCCCCTACTGGTGAGCCAGCCACCAACCCCACCAGACAGGGAATCTAACCCAGATCTTCTGGTTCATGGGTCAGCACTCAACCACAGCCACAGGGGCCGGGCTCTACCAATGATTTTACACCAGAGATGTGTATTAGAATCATGTGGAGCTTCTGAAAGAGTTGCTCAGACCACAGTCCAGGCTTAGTCATCTCCTCTACTGGTGATTCTGACCCCAGCCTTTCACAGCAATTTTTTACTGCTTTATATTGTAGTTATATGTGAACATGACACTTTCTCTTGATTGAAAACTCTTATAATTAGAAACCTTTTTGTACACTTATGTTCCCCATAATGTTTAAACATTAGCTCTTTGTATGTATAAAGGTCATTATTGAATGAACACAGATTTGGCAAAGGAAGAATGCTGTATATTCTAAAACATTTCAAGGCAATAGACAAAGTTTTTTAAGTGAACAGTAAGGGTGTACTTGAAAACAGGAGCAGGACAAAAGATGGGGTGTGAGGTAAAAATAGTTGAGAAAACATGATTAAGAAAGCTAGAAGCTAAGGAATGTAGTATTTAGGAAGATACGGAGCATAGTGTTCATAGACAATAAATAGGTTTCTTTAGAGTTGAAAATTAGTTCTGAGGTAAACAAATCTGTAAAGATTTTTTAAAAAGGTAAGGATGGAGATCAGTGTTCTGATTTTTCTTTCTACTATTAAATAACTTTTTCTTAGAAAAGAAATCTGGAGAAGTGGCTGTTCTGAAGAGAGATGGACGATACATATATTACTTGGTAAGACAGGGCCAATTCTCAATATGTTCTAAGGGTTGGTGAACAGATAGGCTGTACTGAGTTTGTGTTGATCATGATATTCCATTCTAGACAACCAAAGATGTCAACAGGCTGCTGATTTCATGCCAACTTAAGTTCAGTGGTGATGGCTATTTGGAGCTCTGGGTTGGAAAAGAAGCTGCATCCTAGCTCCAAGGAAAAGAGTACTATGACATCTACCAAAGGCCTATTTTCTAAGACTTGGAAAAGTTAGGGATGCCTCTTATAATTTAATTCCTTCCTGAAAACCTTGATAACTGAACTGCTTAGCAAAATCCACAGGTATTAGCTTGGCATTCAAGATCTTCTGTTTACCCATATTGTATTTAGTAGTTTGGAATTCTCTTTTTTATAGACTCCTCCTATTACTTTCTACCAATGATTTTTATTTTTTTAAAAATATTTTTAAAAATATGTATTTAAAAATGTATTAGAAACTTTTACAAAATGATTAGAAAAACAATAGTATCTCAAGAGACAGATTCTTCCGTAGTAAATGCACTCAGCTGCCTTCCTGCCTGCTGCCTCAATGTGGGATTCTTCCACTAGCCAAATGGTCTTCAGCCCCAGAAAGAGTGGCTTCTTGGTGATGGTGCTTGGTGACTTACAGCCACCCCTCTATGAGCTTGATTTGGATAGCGCAGTAAGTGGGTTCATGTCTTTGAATGCTGTCTTTAAGACTGCTGTGACTTCACTATTATTTGGAATACTACCAGTTTGTCTCTGGTCTTTTATAGAGAAACAAAAAGCAGGCAAGCATAGTTTCTAAGTAAATAGACTTAACAGGAAATTTCAGGTGGTGTGGGTTCTTGTTACAGATATACAGCTTATCTCTGGGAAGTGGCACAAAGACTTTCACCTACTTTGCTTAAAAACAATACACAATAGGCTCAGCCTGTTAACCTCCTGGTCTTGAGAAAAGGAAAGATTATTACCTGGCAGTGTCTGGGTTTTTCAGGCCCTATTTAGTTGATTTTCCTGAAGGTCTCCCATAACTGGAAGGGACAGTATGACATTTGTCATTTCTGCTTTTAAGACTATTCTATAAAAATACACTTTTTGTTTCAATTACCAGGATGCTGGGAGAACGTGGTGGCTTTTCTTTGGCTATCATTTTGGACTAATAGAAATTTGAATTCTTTCTTTGTACTCAGATTACAAAGAAAAGGGCTTCACATAAGCCAACTTATGAAAACTTACGGAAGAGTTTAGAGGCCATGAAGTCGCATTGTCTGAAGAATGGAGTCACGGACCTCTCCATGCCCAGGCAAGGAAATGTAGGCCCTATGTGAAGACTTGATTGGTGGGGTTTACTGTCTTAGACAAATGACTGAAAGGCTTAATCCAAAATACAGACTTAAAGGTGGACAAATTTCAAAACTTTAAAAAAATCACCAGTGAACCGGTTGTTAGACCTTACGCTAAAGCATACTAATTTCTTAGCCTGGATTGAAGGGCTCAGGATAATTATCTTAAAACCCACACCTGTCTCAACCTATGTAGTAAGGAGGAACCATTTTAATCACATTTGTTAAATTTCTGGTATCCTCTGCCTGAAGCCTAGCCTCTGCTGAAGCATTGTAAACTTAAGAACCAAGACCAAGCAATTGTGATTTCCCTCTGGGCCACTTCAGGTTTCCTAAACCTATTAATCCTGTGCAGAGAAGGTTGTAAATGATCACTACCTTTTAAACTGCGTGCTTGTTGATGTTCACCTTGGCAGTAACCAGAGGGTATGTTCTTGATATAATGTCTTAGACCCTACCTGTTGGGAAATTAGGGAGTGGCGTTGGGGTTTTTAAGTGTGCCCTTTGAATCCTTTTCAGAAAATAGGTTTGGGGTCACTTGCTGTCACCTAGTTTTGAGTCAGTGTTGACCATGCATGCAGGTTTATTCCAAGCTCCAAGTTGGTTATGGGGCTATAGGGTCCCTTGTTACACTGGTCTTTAATATATTTATGGATTATGTATCAAACTTTTTTTAATCACAGTATTTTTTCAGGGACTTAATCATTACATTATATGAAATTAGCAGTTTTAAGCCTTTCTTTTTTCCCCTAGGAATGTTGAGGATCAATAAAGTAACATCTTAGAAGAAAGGTGCTGGGTAATAGAGTTTTGTGGGTCGATAAAGGTTTTTCACCAGGACGTTGCAAAGACCAGAATTGCAATCAGCTTGGCATTTCTCAATGTTCCATCTTGACTTCTTTTTTTGCAGAGATCCTGTCTTTTGTCTTCCTTATAACCTTCCTTAACTTTTCATGATCATATGTATTTTTTAAATACCAGTCGTTTCTCATCTACCCACAGCCAGTTTTCATCAATAGGAGGGTAGTGAATCTCCCATATCATGGTGGTTATACATTTCTAAATGTTGCTTGAAATTATTGGAAAGGGGTAACCAGTAGGCAAAAGAAAAGTGACATCTGTGGGATGTTAGTGCTGCCAGGAACAGCCTTGGGTGACTCACAGCAGGAATTAACTTCCAAACTTCCACCATGTCTGCCTATAAGGGGTGAGATCAGATCATTTGTTCTTATGCTCTGGGTGAATGCAGCCTAAAGGAAGAGGGAAGGTGTGATTTCCTAGATACCTTCATTATAACCAATGGAGATGTTTTGTTTTTTTCAGGATTGGGTGCGGTCTTGATCATCTGCAATGGGAACACGTATCTGCAATAATTGAGGAGGTGTTTGAGGCAACAGACATCAGAATTACTGTGTACACACTCTGAACAGATGAGCGTTTTGGATGTGTCCATGTTTTTCTGCGTCATCCCAGCTGGGCCGTTGGACTGGGCAAACTGACTAAAAATTGTCAGAGGAGAGTTTCATGTGAAGTTGTCTGTGCTACAGGCCATGCTTGGGTTTCTGTATTCCCGTGGTTGGACTGGGACTCTGAAGGAGGGATTGCTTGGGAAGTGTTGCTGTGATTTTTCTTTGCAGGTAGGTAGGTAGGTAGGTAACAGCCTGCTATTTGGCAGGAAACTAGGTGTTGGGCCCTATGACCCTGTTTTGCTCCAGGATTCTACCTAATTTGTTTGGCTCACCACTAGGTGGCAGCATTGATTCCACTTCTCTGCTGTTTTAAGAGAAATTTCAGGAAGGATGAACGTTTCACTTCGTTAATTTTGAATCTTTTGTCATTTTTTGCGTTTACTTGGTATTATCCTTATGTCCTCAGATTCATCCTAGAAGATAATTTTGAGGTTTTGTTTGTTTAAATTACAAAAATGGGTTTTTACATTGTAAACAAGGAATTTGTGTAAACAAAAAGGGGAAAATAAATATCTTCTTGGGCTACAGTGAGGTTCTGTATGCATGTCTGTGTTCTGACTTGGATAGTGAAGGATTCACCTGTAAATTCGGAAAATTCAGAAGGGGGGTCCAGTGGGAAGAGCAGCAAGGTTAAAAATAAGAATGGACAGCATCTATGGATCAACATACTGTAAAGGCAGGCTTCTAGAATCCCTTCATGCTGAACTCTTCGGCCCACTACATAGTGTCTGTGATTGAACCTGCCTGAATTTAGTCAGGGAACATATCATATATGTTAAATGCCTGGCAATGTGCTTATTGCGGAGTGATGACTCAGTTGTTCTCAATAAAATCGATGCATCTTTTAAAGAAAAAAAGACCCACTTCCAAAACAATTCTATTTTGGTAGTTGGGGGGTTAGGGAAGATGGCTAGGTTTCTTTGCGTTTTTAAGCTCTGGGGAAGGCTGAGGTGTAACCAGCTGGGATGGAGAACAGTAAATATTAGTCCCCTTCTTAAGCTAAGAGAGCAGCACTGTGTTTTCTTGGTGGAAGAAGGTGGTTCATGGATTTAGCCAGTGGTGCAGTATTAGAGGTATTGGGAAAACTAGTGGAGGTCCACCCTCCGCTTACTGTGATATTATGAGTTCAAACAGCCAGACGTATTGATTTTTCTCCCTTGAGTGAATTCCAGGCCTTCATAGGACTTGCTTTCCCAAGTGTAAAGGAACTGGATTTTAGAATGTGCTTGTTGAAACACCAGGAGAGCACTGGTTAAATATAACCTTTGTACTTTATACTTACTTTCTTACCACACTGCAGCCTGATAGGAGGCAGCAGTTTCAAAAAGTATTTCACGTCTTTTGTAGCTCTGTGAGGAACAGACAAATTCGTGTAGTTGGGGTGGGGTACTGCAGGAGCAAGTTCATTGTCAAACTTTTGGACTAAGGCTTTCCTTGGAGAAGCTTTGCTTCTGTTCATTAGTAGTAGTAAAATTGAGGGGGAAAAGGGAAGGAATGTCTGAATACACAAAACGGAAAATGAGAGTGGGTGATAAGAGGAAGTATTCTGCTAACTATGCAAATAAATCTTAACACTTGGGTCAAAACATTGATTTTGAAGGCTTCTACATTGAAAGGGATCAGGGCAAGTTTTTTTTCATGTAGTATGAACCTTGGTTCTTTTAACAAAGCTTAGTCTTGTGGAAAACTGGCAGTAAGTGGAATGCTGGGGACTCAGCAGGGATGTGATAAAATGCTTTGTTATTTGTAGATAGTCTTGGGGTCAAATTCCGATGTCTTATCACACTCCAAGCCTGGGGAAAGGCATCGCCTGATAATCAGAATGAACACATTATTCCTGGAAACCTAGTTAGAGTTTGGCAAACACCCAGAAATTCACATGTGAAATTTTACTTCTACCTAGGACTCAAATCTTTTAAGAAATGACACTTTGATGTCATCATGCCATCACCATCAAGTACCACATGTTGACTACTCTTATATTGTGTATCTGAACATTGAAATCCTCCTACTCCTCACTTCTAATTAATCAAGAGGCAAATTTGCTTATTAATTGGCTGTTGGAACATGGATATTTTATAAACAGATTCCCCATGCCTTTTGTTTCCCCCTCTACTATATTCCTTGTCTTCAGAGAAGGCAAAAGGCACTCAAGGAATCAGAGAAGAAAATATTTTGTGAAGGTCGAGACCAGGATGAGAAGTCTACATGGGAGAGTTAGTATCCTGTGGTTGCCTAGACAAGTCCTGGTTTAGGCCTCCCTCCCACTTACAGTGTGGCTTGGGTCATAGCCTGGGAAATCCCTATGCCTGGGACTTGATCACTTCTAAATGTCCAAGTTCCCTACAAAACCTGGTCACAGAAAAACCACACCACTTCTTTTATTGTTGCTGCTCATTTTTCTTTAAAAAAAAAAACAAACCAATTTAACATAAATGCATTTCTGGACATATTTCAAAGATCTGCACAGATCTTGGATCTGAGGCTCTTTGCCTTAAGCAGCCCATTTTGGGGAATAATTAAGACCCTCAAACCCATGATGCCTGGTGCCCATGCATGGTTGCTATTTCTCCGTGCATCTCTCTTTCCCAAGAGCAGCCTTAGAAAGAGAGGCACAGCTAAAATGATTTACAGCATGAGAAATGTATTTTGAGTCCTCAGAGGGCCTTGTGCTGTGGGATTGGTTGGTGTCGAATGTTGTCCAGGTCCAAGTGGTATTAGGAAGTCAGGCATGTCCCAGATGACCATACGTGTCACCACTGTCTCTTGGCAGCAGGCAGACCTTGAGAAAACAGAAAACGTTACTGAGAGCCCTGCTGGCCCCAAACAATGAAGTTTTCTTTTTGAATTAGGGCTTCTGTGTGCCTTCCCCAAGTCCCTGAATTTCCCTAGTGTCCTGTGACTACTGGTTTACCCAGGGTTGGATTTGTACAGAGAAAGCCCCAGAAGAGATCTGCTTTAACTCTGTTCTTTTGTGTTGAACACACAGTTAAATCCTAATCTGTCAGTTTCTAAAAGATGGAGTAAGAAATACGAGGAAAATTTTATTTAACACATGCCCTTTTCTTGGGAGTATTTTAATTAAGCAGAGTTGTTCTTTTGGGCTTTTAGATACCTCTATTTCATGCCAATTTTTTTAAAACTTGGTACATTTGAACCTTTTTAGGAACATGAGCAGCTCAAGTAGAGTACAGACGGAAGCATGTTAATAATGGGTTCAGATGATAGTTATGTTCACTGATGGAAAGAGGCTTATAATGTGGAACATGTCTAATAATATTTTATTAAGAATAATTTTACTTAGAAATGGACTTTTTCCATCAAACTGATTTATCTATTTTACTTGTTTAGATTAGCATAAGGTACAACCCTCAATTATCCAAAATAAAGCTGTTTTTAATCCTCTTTGAAATGCTTAATTTTTATAGCAGATTTATCTATCTCATTTGACTTAATGGGGAAAAAAGCCAACAACACACACGAATCCCTGAGGACTTGCTAGTTAGGAAGCTGGAAGAAGTGGCCCGTGACTCTGAAAGATGTTTAAGAAGAAAGTATACTAGGGTTAAAAATTAAGCTACCAGTCATCCTGTAGAATCTATGTAGGGTTTATAATTACAGTGATAGTACCTACACTAATAAAATCTTCAAGGAATTTAAAAGCTAATTTTGTATCGTTAGAGGTCACCCTTAGAAATCTGTATTACGGTTCACCACCACTCAAAGTGTAGTGTCTTATTTTATATGAGCAGAGTATCACGTTACATTACCAGACCATAGTCTCACTGAATTCAATGAATGGGTCCTGCTTTTTGTAAGAAATTGCTGAAATGGTGTCTTCACGGATTGGCGAATGCTCAGCTGGAGAATGACCAGGCCCACCAAGTGCACGTGTAATAGCAAACACCTGCCAACATCAAGCTCTAGAAATGGATATTTTCAAATGGTGTTTATCAAGCGACATCTCTTAACAATATTAACAATGAGAGACACCAAAAATGAATAACTTCATGGAAGCATGCTCCTTTCATGCTTTAGTAATATGAGTTATTCCAGAATTAAGGTTAAGAGGGTGGTTAGGACCCATTCTCTGTTACTGGGGGACTTTGATCAGTAACTCAGGCCCTATAAAGGGACTTAGTCATAGCATTGCTGTGGGAGCAAAGTAGATTAGACCAAATTCAAAAAAAGATAGTATAGGATTCTTTACCCTGTTTCCTGAGGGTAATCATCCTGTTTCTGTGAGAGTCTAATTTACCCTCAGCAAGAGGCCAAATCGGCCTTAATTGTGTCCTAATTATTTGCTTAAATAGCTAATTTTTACTTCCAGTTCTCTTATCACATCTTGATTATCTGTAGGTGGCTACTTCTGAGCTGCTGACTAATTTACAAACATCTTTTTAACCCTTTAAACATTCCTGCGTGGGAGAACTTGTTGCTGTATTATCCCCATTCCTGCATTCAGCATTTTTCTAGAAGTCCCGCTGAGGTCTTCTCAACATTAGAAAGACGTTCCTGCATGGTGCATTCACACAGCAAGGACTGGTCTCCCTCAAAGCAGAATCATTCATTTGACAACATGTAAGCTTGCTTCTCTGGCCAAAAAAAGTTGGGGAATTTAAAGTATCAAAAATGAAAAGAAAAAAAAAGTTGCCCCAGGTAGAATGAAACACCTGCTTTAGAGAAAAAACTGGAACGGTAGGATTGCAAATGGGGTGGGAGCAAGGCATCTACAAGGCATCCGGAATGAGTACTTCTGGACACACGTCCATGGGGCGTGCTTAGGGGATTGAGATATATTCTAGGCCCTCGTTTAGTACCAGGCCCTTGCACCATCTAAATGTTACTACAGAAAAAGCTTTCAGATTCCCATCAACCCTACTTTTCCATGTTATGGGGAAAGTTAGTCTGACATAAAGGGGTAGGAGGAAAAAGCATCTAGGGAGAGGAATTTGGAGGAAATAAAAGCCAGGATCTTCTGCAATGTTTTTACAATCAACCCAAAGCAGAAAAATGAAATCCTTCCCCAGGAAAACCTAAGCCACTGCTTCCACCTGGCCTCGAGCCTCCCGCCGAGGGGATGCAGTCACGGGGCCACGACTCACGTGGGGCCGAGCCGCGTGGCCTACTTCAGGATGTCGGCCAACTTCTCCTCGTAGTACAGGAAATTCTCCTGAATGTCCTCCCAGGGCTCAAAGGACTTGGACTCGCCCTCTTCCTGCTCCACAAAATTCTGCCAGATGTACTCGAAGTCCTGGGGCTTCATGATGCGCAGCCTGCAGCCGGCCGCCTTCAGCTGCCGCAGGGCGGCCTGGATGGGGGGCTCCTCCCACATGAACAGGCGCCCCACCAGGATGAGCAGCCGCAGGTTCTTGGTCTTGCTCAGGGTCTTGGCGATGCGCTCGGCGCAAGCCACGCAGGGGCTGGAGGACACGTACCAGGTGACGTTGTACCGCAGGGCAGGGTCGAAGGTTGGCACGACGGTGTTGAAGAAGGCCTCCTCGGCGTGCGCCGTGGCGTGCTCGTCCTCCAGGTACCCCCGGGACGCCTGCACCTGGCCGCCCTTGTCCTGCACTTCGATCACGTAGCAGAGGAAGGTCTTGTTGCGCCCAGAGCTGTACTCCACGTTCCGGAACTGGAACTTGAAGTAGTTGACAGGCAGCCGCTCCCTGCGGGTCGAGAAGACAAAGGGACAGGAGGGAGAGAGAACGGTGAGTTCTGGTGTCTAGGCCCAGCCTGGAGCGGGTGGCTCTCCAAGACCTCAGCATGCGTGACAAAAAGGCACGAAAGAACCCCAAAGGGCTGACCTGGAGGAAAGAGACTGTGGAGTGAGGTGTGCATTCTGGTCACCCCGTTAGGAAGGGTCTCCAGACACCTCACTGTCACTCGCTGTGCACAGCACACGCCTACATTCGAAATGACTCTTGAACCTGGCTCTACGTTAGAATAACCTAGAAGGTTCTACAAACAACGCCTGGGCCTCACACGAAGCCAGTTAGATCAGGACATCTGATCGGGGGTCCAGGCATCAGCATTTCTAAAAGCTCTCCAGATGATCCGAATTTGTGGCCAGGTTTGAAAGCAGTGTTGAAATAGTAACTTACAAAGCAGCGAGCATGTGAAGTTCCTCGTGACAGAGCAAGGCAAAGATTTTGCAGAGCATTTCGTGCTTCCGTTCCGCCTCCTTGTCACTCGAGTATGCTACATCTTGGGCGTAGAGTGGCCTACAATTTGCAGTGTCATGCTCTCCTAGCGACTGTTTCTCAAGCTTACCTTTTCCCTCAGGTGAAAGAAGGGTTGTCACAAAGTGTCAAGAATTTTTAGTTTTGAGGCCACACTACCTAAGGGTACCTCAATATGACTTAGCTTGTATGTAGTACTGAATCAGTTCAAAATCATGAAAGATTTGGCCTCTGCCCTCTAGATGCTTATAATCCAGCAGCTAGATTCTAGCTGGGCAGGGAAGATGTAAATAAGACAGCTGAAAACAGTAGAAAACTGCTAAAAATGAGTAGGTAGAGTGAAGGACATAGGAAGGCTCTTGAAAGTTTAGCCTTGATTCAGGAGGCAGTAAAGAATCATTACAGGTTCTTGAGTCACAAAAGACCATAAATCGCTTCTCAGCCTTTTGGCTAAGATCAAGTGTAGCTGTTCTTATCAGCTTAATATCTGAAACGTCCTCTACCCTAGGACAATATATTAAATGGGTTTTTGGAGCAGGGAGGTGGAATGGGAGCTTGCTCCATCCACTCCACTCATTTCTTGCAGTACTTCTGGGGATGGTATGCAAAAGAAAGAAAAAAGGAAGACATAGTAAAAGTCATGCCCATAGAAGAGGACTGGGGTGGCTTTAGGCAGACAGAGGGAAGCTGGGGAAACCCAGGGACTAGAGAGGGCATCCGAGTTGAAGGTTGTTTCTATCTTTATGCATATCGTGTGTTTTTCTAAAATAGGAAGATTTGTGCAGGTTTGAAGGTCAAGGAGAAAGCGGAGGCTTTCACGGGGGAGAGAAGTGCCAGAAGGAGAGCAGGGGGTGAGTAGCTCCAGCTAGGCAGCTGGAAGGCTTTCTTTTTTAAAAATGGAATCTCTGGGGAGCATTTGCGATCTTGCTCCCCAGCATGTGTCCTCAGTTTGGCTCAAATAAACTCTTATAAAAATTCTCAAAATAAAAATTAAAATGTAATCTCTGTGGCTGCCCCAGAGATACCCTGAGGCAACCACTAACTTCGCCATTGCTCCCCTCCCTGTCTGCTGTTTCCCCAGAGAGGTCACCTGACTCTCCGGGCTGCAGGGGAATCCCTGGTATCCCAGGGTCTTGGCTTCTTAGGGGTAAGCAGCAGGTGCCAAAGAGCTGAGTAAACCTGAGCTGTTTCCCTGCAGTATTCCCTTCCTCCCATCACCAGTTTTATTCTACCCAAGTTTCCATGTCCCTTGCTGGCAAGTTAAGTTTCCACTTCGGATGGACGTTTGAGGACCCGGCCCGAGGGATTCCTTCGGGTACTATACTTAGCTCTCTAAGCCCCTCTGTCCCAGGTTGGATGTGTTTATTATTTACTTAATATTTTGGGAGAATGGATGACCTGATGATTCTCCTCTTCTCTTTCAGTCTCCGTGGGCTTGGCTCTCCCTAGTTAAACTCACCCCACCAGACCACTCCTGAACTTTGCCCATTACTAAATGATCCCTTCTCTTCCTGGAATGGCTTTTTCCTTCCAAGAAGCACAGAGCCTACCTTTCTTGCCCAAACCCTCTTTTGCTCTTCAAGGCCTTTTGCCAGATCACCCCACTACACCCCGAGTCTAATCCAGAGCCACCTGTATGATGGATTCTCAGAAGTCCTCACTTAATGTCATCAATAGTTCTGCGACTTTAAGCAAAACAATGTATAAGAAACCAATTTTCCCATAGGCCAAGTGATATAAACAAGACTTAAGTTCCTATGGCATCTCATCAATGTTATCATGAAGCATCGTTGAAAGAAAAGTGGTTATTGGAAGACCTGCTGTATTCATGACCGTGTGATAGTCGTGGGGCTTCAGCAATGGCTGTCTGTGGTCCCTCAGGTTTCCTTCTGGAACCCCCCAAAGTATTGCTCCAACTTGACCAAGTACAGTTCAACAGAGAGTATGAATTTGGCCCAGCGTGCAGTTGCCAGTTGGCCAGGTGATCTGAGACTGCTTCTTTTCTCAGCCCCTCAGCCCCTGGGCAAGGGGAGAGGACCCACAGAAAAGTGAAACCCAAGAGAGAGGAAGAAAGTTCGCTTCTATAAATACAAATTTCCAACCCCTCTGGCCAGCAGCCTCATGGTCTCCCCTGTCCCTCAGCAGAGACAATAGAAAGACAAAACAGATGCCTCAGGAAGGGAAGTGCTTTCAAGGGGCAAAAGGAAAGTCAGGGAAGGCCTTGGCTCCCAGCCTTTCCTCTGGGCTTCCTCAGAGACTGAGTTTGCCTGGCTTCTCCTTTTTGGTCTTCTGGAAGGAGCATAAAGATTGAACGGGGTTCTTTGGGAATCCCCACAGACTGAAACAGCTAGGCCCTTGAGGGAAACCAGGGGAGCAGAGTTGGTAGAGGCTGGAAACTTCCCCAGGGAGCTAAGACACCATGGTCATCTCGGTGATGTTACAGAATCACAAAGTAAGTCAACACTATTATGTCCACTAGTAGAAGGAAGGAAATACTGACACTTCTTAAATTATCAGGCATTTTTTTCTAAGTAGCATGAGATGCCTGAGGACCACATTTACTTGTACTCTCAACCCCAGCAGATGTGTCACTGCTAAAGAGGGTGTGGGGGGATGTTGGAGTGGTGGTCAGGAGAGAGGTGTAGACGGTAGATTTTTTACCTGGACTCAGTCACTTCTTCAGGCACAGAACCAACAGCATTATTCCTACCCACAGCCTCAGATGGCACCTCTTTAAGCACCACTTTTTCATGCTTTCTGCAAACAAGACCATTCACACTTCATCTGCTTAGGAAGGCTACTGGGCATTGCAATTCTCTAGGCAGGAAACAGACTCAAATATCTAGAAAAAATTGGGATGATGGATGGTCTGCTTGGTGGAGGGGGAAGGGATGTAAGTAAATGTGTGTGTGTGTGTGTATTTTCCCCCTCGTGTTCACATTTAAAAACATTTGCACTTCCTACACATAAATCTATACAGTGAAAAGAAGCAACCTGGAGGGGAGTAGATGCTGGTCTGAGATTAAACATTTGCTCCAAGATAACCCATGGAGTGGAAAATCCACCCACAGATGATTGAGTGTTGACTCATTTCAGCTTTCGTTCGCAAGACCTGCTTGAAAGAGGCAAAATTGCTAGTTTTAGTTCCTGTCTCCTTTTCAGACCACTTTCAAAGTGATGCAAAGGAGGGGCCTGGTCAGAAGGAGGCGTGGAGAGAAGCCGGAGGTGGAAGGGACTGATTTCCTAGAGCTGCGCAGGGGCGTGGTGGGCTGCCTGCTGCTGACTGGCAGTTCTGGGGAGCCTGCTGCCCAAGGCAGGCCCTGAGCCCGCCCCTTTTCCCTGGCACATGTCTTTGCCCTGGGCTCTGACCTTTCCCTGGCCCTCAGCGGAGACCAGGGTGGTCAGAGTTAGTGGTGTCTTTTGTTCTTTATGGAACAAACCTTCCTGGCATGCTCCAGAGTCCAGGTAGGGGGTGAGGGGCTATGGCATTAACAGTGGTGTCAAAGGCCCCTCACTCCTTGCCTGTCCCTTTTCCTCTGAAGCCTGCCTCTTCCCTCTGTGTTCCTCCCACGGCCAGAGTAAACTACTGGAAGCTAGAGCAGTGGTCGGAAGGGGATTGGTCCCTTTGATGGCAGGTTCGGCTTCATGCAAAATCATACACAACATAAACTAGAGGCAAACACAGGTGCTGCCAGGCTGAGCCACAGCCACTCATCACTGAGATGGAGAGACAGGACACAACCAGTGGTGCCCAGAGCTTCCCTAGAGCATGCTGAGTCCAGAGGCAGCCGGGGACCGTGAAATCCTCCTCTGAGCCCAGCACTGCTTGATCTTCATACATCCTCAATTTCTCTCCTGGAGAAGTTGTCCCCGAGGTTAATTCCCTATCTCAACACCTGGCAGAGAGCCCAACGCGCAATAGGCGCTCATCACTAGTTCACTTCCTTATTCAAAAACAAGTATTAATTACGTGTTAGGAGCTGAGTACTAGTCTTGGTGCAGGGACAAAGCAGTTAAAAGGCAAAGTCCCTGTCCTCATGGAAGTTAAATACTGGTGAAGGAAATGGGCAGCAAATAAATGATTCCTGTTCAGTAAATATTTGTTGACAATAAAAGCCACCTCTTTATGGCTTTTTAAAGCCACAGTGTGATGATTTGGAGTCAGACAGTCCTGGGGTTCGCACCCTGCTCCATCCACTAGCTTTGGGCAAATTACTCATCCCTCCAAGGTTTGGTTTCCTCATCTGGAAGGTAGGTTGAGGAACCCAACCCCTCAGGTTCTGAACCACTGTGGCCACTCAAGAAATTAAACTTAGTATTGAGGGATGGTGCCTTTTTTGGGCCTCAAACCTTATCCCTCAGAGCCCATCTTAAGCACTCCCAACCTCAGCCTTGTCTACTCTTCCTCTCACTTTCAGAGACTCCTCTTTTTCAGTGGTGTGCTAGCTTAGCACCCAGCAAGCCACGGGAAAGAGAAAACACCCTCATTTCTAACTTTGCCGACTTCTGTAAACACTCTCATTATGGCAATTTCAAGAACACGGAGTCGGGAAGAGAGACACGCAATGGGCTCTCAGCCAGTGTGAGCCGGCTTGGGCACACCCTGCAGCTTCAGACCCTTTCCTAACGCTTTCCCCCATGTTCTTGTGACTGTTCTCAGGCCTGCTTCCATCCTGGGAGCCCTAGCAAACCAGAATCACGACACACAGGGTCTCTCTCCCTCCATTCCTACCTGGTGCTCCCTCCTCACCACAGACTGTTTGCTGAAAAGCCATCTGCTCTCTCCTAGCTTGTGGGCCAAGTCTAAGGAGCAGTATGGACAGGCCCATCCCCTACCTGTGGGGACCCAGGCTAGGAGAGGGCCTGCTTGGGACCCCTTGACTCTAGGACATCTGGAAAAGGAAGGAGAGGAGAGTCAGTCCCTCATCCTGTCCCTGCATAGACACAGCCGCACCTCTGGGCTATTTTAAGCCATCTGTTTACCCCAGGGGCCCAGGAGACAGATCTCCACAGCTGTCACTTGTGGCCAGGAAACACTCAGGGCTCCACCTCCCTCCTGAGCTGCTCTCAGAGCACCCAGCAAGCTGCCCGACCTGTGACCCTTTTTCTGAGCTTGGGTCAGGGAAAGCCTCTGAACCACACTGCCCTGCAGTGGAGACAGCTGGAGTTCTGTTTGGTAAACCTGGGAACCAGGATGCATAAGAGAACAGGGGAAAGGACACTTGGCTGGAGTCAGACGACCTGCCACTTACTGGTTCTGAGGGCTCCAACAAGTCACTCAATCTACCTGACTCTCAGTTTTCCTGTCTGAGAGTGGCAATAAAATAGCTCCCTCCCCAGACTAGCACCATGCTGAGGGTTGAATGAGCTCATGCATGTGACAATATGCCATGACTGTGAAGGCCTGGATGGATGTAAGTTGCATTAGAGGGTTTAACCCTTTAGGACCTGCCACCCTGGGACTCCAAAGCCTGCCCAACTCAACAAACACAGTCCAATTCTGTCCTGAACCTACCCTGTGCCTGTGCCGGGGAGATCACAGCCCTGCACAGAGTGGGCCTGCGTGGTCACGTCTGTGTGACCAAGACAGCATGCACCAGCTGCTCATGTGTCAGAAAAAGGATCTCCTTCCACAGAGAGCTCCTGGAATTGAGGACTCTCCTGGCCTGCTGGCTCTAGGCTCTCTCTATGTCTGCATTCATCTGTGCCCCTTGCTTTTTGAATCCTAGGTTGAGGGCGAGATTAGTTGGTTGGGCATGGGCTAACACAAGTTGTGGGGCTCTACCCTGAACTCTTACCTTAGGAATTAGCATGCATTTTCCCTCGGGTTCTCTTAGAGGTTGGAAACTATCTGAGCTGGAAGGGGTCTTGGGAATCACCTAGTGTAGCTTGCTCATGTTACAAATGAAAAACGCTGAGGCCAGGACTGGAAAGTCACTTGCCCAGCCTAAAGCGGCAGTTGCATTGCCACCCAGGGATCCTTCGGCCCCTTGAAGGCATCGCTCCTCCATTCTTTTGAAACTTCTTCGTGAGGCCCCTCCTCTGCCTGCGGGCATTGCTGGACCCCCGGGAAGGAAACCTTGGGGCTCAGGAGGAAATGTGGCCCCACGTATCCCCTTATTCTTTGCGTAGGAACTTAGCAGGGTTTTCTATTAAAGGGACACAGAGGGAAGAGGGGGGAGACCACTTGGGGTTATTCCTGGAGACCGCACAATGTGGACGGGGCAGAGGGACCCTGTTTGTAGCCCCCTCCTTGGGGCCTCGAGACCCTTTGCTCTGGGTCCTGGTTCCTCCCGGTTGTGGCTCCAGGGGTGGGAATCCCTCCTCTGTCCAGAAGCTCCTGGCCCTGGCCTGTGTAACCTGTGCGGTGACCTCTCCGTTTCCCAAGGGGGGGAGGGGATGCGACAGCCCCTGGGGAAACTCAGAAAGGACTGAACAAAGACAAAACCACTTCTCACTCAGGCTTGGGAAAGGATGGGTCTCTCTTCCCTGCTTTAGGACCTTTTCCTCCTGAGAGAGGCTCTAAAGGAAAGAGTGAGACCTGCAGATAGAGGAAAGGCCCCCTCGGAAGCAGGAGAGAAGCAGAGGGAGGAAGTCCTTTGACTGGGGCCACATTTAGACGTGCCAGTGTCCTCACCAGAGTCCCTGGGACTGAGCAGGGAGGCAAGTGATGCCCCAAGACCAGGAGGCCTCAGGGGTGGTTGCATTACCTCCAAGGAGCTCCTTTTACCTTCCCCGATTAGAGGGCCCATGGTGCCGCCCTGAGAAGCCAAGCGGCATTTGCTGCTGTGTCCCCGGCAGCCCCTACCGCGCATTCCTGTGCCCTCTCGCAGTTTGACCCTGACTCCTACTACTAGCATCCCAGGTTCCCCCAGCCTGTCCCCAGCCCGTGCTCCCCTGGGAGGAGGACCCCAGGCCACACCAGCTCTCACCCTGTGACGATCTCAAAGGGGGGCAGCTCGATCAGCTCCTTCAGCTTCTCGGGGTCGTCTAGGTTGTCCAGATCCTCGCCATTCTGGGAGGCGGGCGCCGAAGCCTCGGCGGCCTCTTCTTTCTGGGCCATGGAGGGGCTGTGGCCGGGGAGTAGCTGAGGGAGAGGAGAGGCCGCGATCGGGGCCAGGGCCTGGCAGCAAAGCCCCAAGCAGCTGTCAGCAGCTAAATCTGCTGGGGGATGACAGGCAGAGGGCTGGGCAGGCCAGGCTGAGTGTGCTCACCCCTCGCTACGGGTTTTATAAGTAGAGGCTGTCTGCCCCTCCCCAGGCCCTTTCCCTCTATCTTTTTTTAATTGAGTGACAGCGGGCGCCAGGCTGGGGAGGAATGGAAAATCTGGCCCTGAGTATCCCCTATTTATCAGTAGGCAAAGACAGGAAGCTGGCAGGTGGGGATGGCTTGACCTGCCCTCCCTCCCCTCCCCAGTGGAATACCTATTCATATTCTCTCCCCCCTTCCCCCTCACCTCATATCCTTCCTTCCCTTTGTTTCCCACCCAGCTTTCCCAGCTCCTTGGGTGGGGATTGTGGAAGGGGCTGGGGGGCATCCTGAGGTTTAGGAGAAAAGCGTTCCCAGAGGTTTATGGAGGATGAGGCTCGTGTTGAGGTGGCTGCAAAGAGCCCCAGGCCAGTTTGGTTGGGGAAAGCTGGGTTCAGGTGGGATGAGAGCTGCTAATTTGGAAAGAAACTGAATTGTCACCCAAGGAGAGTGGGTGCTGATTTGTCTGTTATGGACACAAAATGCAGTGTCAAATGTGGGAGCTCCAGTAGTGACAATCCTGCCTGCCATTTACGAAGCTTAGAATTTTTGAAATAGGCCAGGCAGTGAGTTTAGTGGTTTACATGTGAAATCAGACTTAATGGTCTCAACAGCCCCGCAAGGCCATGTGTATTATCCCATGTTACACATGAAGAAACTGAGATGCACAGAAGGATTAAGGGCCTTGCTTAAAGTCATAAGCCCATAAGTGGCAGAGCCAGAATTAAAACACAGGCTTCTTCTTACTGTGATTAAATTTACTGGGATGACATTAGTTAATGTGATTATATAAGTTTCAAATGTGTAACTCTATAATACATCATCTGTACAGAGTGGGGCAAAAGTAGGTTTATAGTTTGTATGGAAAATATTACAATAATTAATAAATAATAACACAAGAATAAACTGTGTTTTATGGACTCACAACTGTAAACCTACTTTTGCCCCTACCTATATATGGCATCGTGTGCTCACCACCTGAAGTCTAGTCTCCCGTCACACATAATTGACCCCCTTTGCCCTCTTCACCCTCCCCACCCTTCCCCCCTGTAACCACCATATTGTNCTACCTATATATTGCATCGTGTGCTCACCACCCGAAGTCTAGTCTCCCGTCACACATAATTGACCCCCTTTTGCCCTCTTCACCCTCCCCACCCTTCCCCCCTGTAACCACCATATTGTTGTCTGTGTATGTAAGGTGTTTTTTTGGCTGGTTTGTTTTTTTCTTTTATTGCTTTCTGTTTTATATCCCACACATGAGTGAAATCATGTGGTTCTTGTTTTTTCCTGTCTGACTTATTTCACTTAGCACGATACTCTCAAGAGCCATCCATGTTGTTGCAAATGGCAGTATTTCATCTTTTCTTAGGGCTGAGTATTGTTCCGTTGTACATATGCACCAACCTTCATCCAGTCATCCATTGGAGGACACTGAGGTTGTTCCCATGGCTTGGCCACCATGAATAATGCTGTAATGAACATGGGGGTGCATATATCTTTATGAATAAATGCTTTCAAATTTTTCTGGTAGATACACAGAAGAGGGATTGCCAGTCATATGGTAGCTCTACTCTTAATTTTTTAAAGAAGCTCCATACTGTTTCCCATAGTGGCTGTACCAATTTACATTCCCACAGCCTCTCCAACACTTATTATTTATTGTCTTATTGATAACAGCCATTCTAAAAGGTGTGTGGTGGTATTTCATTGTGGTTTTGATCTGCATTTTTCCCTTATAGCTAGTGGAGTTGAGCATCTTTTCATATATCTGTTGGCCATTTGTGTGTATTCTTGGAAAAAGTGTCTGATCAGGTCCTCTGCCCATTTTTTAATTGAATTGGTTGGTGTTTTTCTTGTTGTTGTTGAGTTGTATGAGTTCATTCTGTAATTTGGATATTAGCCCCTTATCAGAGGTATTGTTGGCAAATATTTTTTCCCTTTCAGTTGGATGCCTTTTTGCTTGTTAATGGTTTCTTTTGCTGTGCAGAAGCTTTTTAATTTCATATAGTTCCATTCATTTATTTTTTGCTTTTATTTCCCTTGCCTTTGGGGTTAAATTCATAAAACCCTCTCTGAGACCAAGGTCCATAAGTTTAGAACCTATGTTTTCTCCTATGTATTCTATTAAAAGTCAGGATTTTTAGTCCAGATGTCAAACATTCAACCACAGTGCTATTTCCTCTCAGTCAGTTCTTTATTTATTTAACAAATATTTATTGAGCTTCTACTATGTGCCAGGTGCTGCTTCAGATACCAGGGATATAGCAAAGAACAAAGCAAATGAAAATCTTTGCTCTCATGGAGGTTGAGGGGGTTGGACAATAAACAGGGTAAGTAATACATATACTTAAGTATTAAGTGCTAAGGAAAAAGGTGGGGAAGGGGGACAGGGTGATGAGGGAGGGGTGTTACATCCCTATAGGATGGCCAGGGAAGGACTTTGAGAAGGAGACAGTTGAGAAAAGATCTGAAGGAGGTGAGGGGAATAATAATGTGAATATCTAAGGGGAAAGTGTTCGAGTTGGGGAAGAGCAGGTGCAAAGGCCCTGAGGTGGGAACAAGCAAGGACACCTGTGTGATGAGGCCAGAGACATAAATAAGGGCTAAATGGCCTGGGGCCTTATGGGCTGTTTTCTCTGAGTGAGATGGGAAGCTGCTGTCTTTGAACAGATGTGTCACATAACCTGACTTGTGTTTTTACAGCATCGCTCAGGCTGATGGTTGAGAATAGATCAAAGGTGAGAAAGAGCAGAAGCAGAGAAACCAGCTCTAAGCCTATTGAAACTAGTGAGATACGGGGCCCCCCGAGAACTCCCTGAGCTGGCACAGTGTCGGAAGATGGATGTATGGTTTTTGCAGTTCACACAATAGGTGCTTAGTAGGCATCACAGGTTTTCACATTTGGGGCAATGCAGACACTCTTAGAACACTCTCAGGGCAACGGAAGGGTGGGGTCAGGGTCACCTAGAGGTTGCAAGTGAGGAATGAAGGACACTGGGGAGCTGGGCTGAGCATGGTTCCCAGTGGGTTTGGGTGGTGGCTGTAAGAAGGCAGGGGACACTTCCACGGTCTAACTAGAGAGTAGGAGTCAGGATGGTTTGGAGGACTTGGGGCTCTCTTCTCCAGAGAGTTCTGAGCAGCATGGTGTCCAAAGGTGCCCAAGTGTTTTTGTTTGCCTGGGATGGTCACAGTTTATACCTGTTGTCCAAGCATAATTACTACTAGTGCCCCTTTCACCCCCAAATTGACCCAGTATAGACAAAAAATAATATGGTCACCCTACCTATTGGGTTTATTACTAAGAGTATTCTTATCCAAAGACTACTGTTTTCAGGCTTTTTTCCAGGGGTATAAAACGAGGAATAGTGGTAGGAGTGCCTGTGTCCACAAAGGAAAGGAAGCGATAGCTGATAAACAGAAAGCACAGATTATTATTATTATCATTACCCAAACACACAGCATTTAAATGCAAAGGCTGACTTTCTTCTTTCATGATCCACATGTGTCAAGGGCTCCTGTGTGCCAGGCCCTGCAGTAAATACTATGTAACGTTTGGGGCACCATCGGGCACTCTCCTGCATGATCTCATTTATTCCTCACACCTGTCTCACAGGGGCATGTGTTATGGGCCTTATTTTGTGAGTTAGGGACCTGAGGCTCAGAAAGGTGAAGGGATTTGTGAAGATTACAGGAGGAGGTAAATCCAGGTCTTCTAGGCCTATGTTCCTGCTTCCAGGCTGCACCCAGCTGGCCCTGATGGATATATCTCTATATCATTACCAACATGGCAGCTACAGTGATGTGGTTGGATCAAGGGAGGAAGAGTATCATGTCAGGGGGAAGAAAAAGGGGAGGAGGGGGTCCTTTCAGTTCCCTGTTCCCTGTGGGAAAGACTTCTTCCCTGAGGACAGGTTCTTATATTTTGGCGGTCCTGCATAACCCTGGATTGGGAGGGGGGGAAATCCATATTTATAGCCCCATCTGAGCCCTTGATTCGCTGTGTGGTTTTGGCCAAATCACCTGGCACCTCTGGGCCGCAGTGTTTGCACCTGCGATGCAGCTGAGCTATTGCTCTTTTCCAGGATGGTCAAGGGATGGAAGTGAGGAAGCGGGGCTGGCCCCCGAGGACCTGCAGTGTGGAGACAACCAGCGCGGTGAAAACGTTCTGAGCGAGTGATGCTGGGAGATGGTCCCAGGCTGACCCCTCACTCCCACCACACCCTATAGTTTCTCCTTTGACACTTGAGCGAGCACCCTAGACCGTCCCCTGGGCTGATGACGGACAGCTTCCTTTTTCCACTGCTCCTTTCCAGCCCCCCGCCCCCATCTCTGGAGGCCCTGGGCAACTCTGGCTATTTATGGTACCTCCTGGGGGCCTGAATTCCTGGCTGGTCCTTGATTCTACTTTCCAAGTCAGAACCGTTTCCCCTGCCGGCCCCAGAATGCGGCAGCTAATCTGGGGGATCAGATGCCGGGAGCCTGGCTCCTCCTCCTGCAGCTGCCACTGTCCTCTTTTTAGGGCCGGCATCCCCACCCCCACGTCAGCACTATTGAGTAAGTTTCTATCAATATGACCCTCCTGCACTGGAGGAATCTGGGAAGGAAGGCATCTACTTTAAGATCATACAAGGAGTCCGGGGGATGCTGGGATGTGAATCCAGGTCTGTCGACCTCCGAGTTCCATGCTTTTCCCACAGTGTCATCCTGCCTGGAATTCAGTGACCGTGAGAGCTGACACTAGCACAGCCCTGACTGGGGGCCTGACGCTGGCCTAAGCAGCTCACACGAATGAACTCATTTAGTCCGCACGAGGATGTGGAGGTAGATAGCAGTATTATCCTCAGTTTTTTGGTGAGGAAGTTGAGACCAGAGAGGTTAAGTGAGTTGCCCAAGGTCA